TTATGGTAAAACAAATAGAAAAAAGTTTATATAGTTGTAATGTGTCCTTTGGGGGGAAAAAGGGAGAAACAAATGGGAAAAGCACATTATGAAAATGATTTTTTGAATAAATGATCAATAAAAAAAAAGGAAAGAAAAAGAAAAGAAAAAGGCATGGATGGTGTGACTTTTGTATCATACAAAACAATCAAACGAAAGCAAGAGCAATAAAGAGGAGCAAAAGAAGCTTCTGCTTGTTGGTTTCTTATAACTGATCTTATCTTATAAATGCTTTCTTAAAACCAAATAACTAAACAAATAGATATTATTGGTATTTCTTTTCAAATTTCTTCAATTTGGGGGGAAATATAAGTTGGATAATTAAGAAATACTATATTATGTGTAAGTGTTTAAAAAGCCTTGTGAAATAAGCAACAAATTGGTAGCAAAAGTGCAAAGTGTATATATATATATTTTTTTTTAAAAAAAAAGGAAGATGAAGTAGACAAATTTACAAAATGGGTTACAGCCAAACATGAAAAAGACATATTATGGAAGTCATTTACTTTGGCATCTTTGATCAAAATCTAGGTACAAAGCATGCGCTGTATTTCAAGGATGAGTTGCTTTTTAGTACTAAATTTATTGGATATCACACTTCAAACTTTTTGACTTCCTTCTAACTTTGATTAGACTTTGCCTTAAGTTTTGCACCACTGGCATCATAAAATTTTCTTGAATCCTGTAAATAGGAATACTTGAAATTGGTAATATTATCCAATTTGTTCCATAAATTCTTTACCATATCAAATGAAATTGGACAAGTAGTATTACTCATTTTATATTTATTTTTAATACCTTCAAAAAGCTTCACCATTATATCCATAAACAAAATTGTCTTGCCTACTTGTATATGCTATAACTTATAACCTTCAAATTAAATGCATTAAAAAGGTTAATTCCCGTCCTCTTATAAATATCATTCTAGTTTGATGCTTTATTATAATTTTTTTTCAATTTTCAATATTTTATCGAATTAAAATTAACATGCATGATATTTTAATTAAAAGCTTAAAAGAATATTCCTTTTAAGATTGATTACATAATAATCTATAAATAAAAAAATCGGAACCAAATTAATACACTATTTTTGAGACAATCCAAGTATACTGATTTTTCAAATTTCAAAGATATGTTTTCAATTACAAAGGTTGACTATTCAGGACTGATTTAAAGATAATAAATAATAAATTTATGAATATTTATTTTTTGTGAGTAGTCAAACTATCCCACACTTTAATATTTTTCTTTAGTAAATAGTCAGTGTATTATATTTTCCTCTATAATCGACAAAATGTTTTAGTGACTTATGAGGGATAAAATTTCTCAGCACGCCTTTGGGAGGTAAGACTTACCTCTCTTACGTTTCTTCCCACTAGTACATTACTTTTTTTTCCCATAAAATAGAAGGGCTCACTTTTCTTTTCTTTGCAGCTTTAGTCTTTTATTGTATACATTTTCAAGATTTAAACAGTAAAAAGGCTTATGAATTATTGCCATTGTTTCAACTAAGGTTCCGTCTGCTTACTGAAAAATAATTTATTAAAGAAAAATTTTTTATGTAAAATATTTTACGGAAAAAGTTAATGTTTTTTATTATTTGAATAAAAGATTGAAAGCATTTTTTATTGTTTGGATTATCTCGTGAAAAATATTTTCTAACATCACTGTTGGAATTATTTCACCATTTGGAGTTATTTGGATGTTAAAATGATAAACAATGTTATTCCGTTTTCACAATAAGATTAAGAATGAAAATGAAAATAAGAAAATTTAATAATTATATTTTCTAAAGTACGTAACCACATATTATAATGAAGTAAGTTCTAATTTTTTAAGAAATTTCTATCTTATCATTTTTTTTTACCATAAGATTATAAAAACATCAATATTCATTAATTGAGTAAAACATCCTAAACCTATATTTATAAATAGGTATTCATTAAATGACTATCATTAAAATATTTTTTGTTATAATTATTAGTAAGATTTATTCAATTTATAAATAAAAATAGTAATTTTATTGAATAATTTTACTTAAAAATATTTTTTAATTTTAATAATATTGAATAATTTAAGTATTAATATTTTAAGTTAAAATTTTTTAAAAGTTAAATATTAATATTTTTAAATATTTTTAATATTTTAAGTTAAATATTAATATTTATCAAACTTATTATGCTAAACTTGATATAAAAGCAAATTTTCTGTTTTACAGAAAATGTCTTACGCCTCTCAAGGGTATAAGATATTTTTTGTAATCAATAAGTATTTTTTCTATGACTCGAAAAATGTTTTACATCTGAAATAAAATTTTTATTTGGAAGTATAAGTCTTAAAAACATTTTCTGAAAGATATTTTACATAAAAAGAAACGTACCTTAACTATTTGATGTTTTATTGTACCCAAACGAGTCTTCAAACTTATGTTCATCTTCAAAACAAGCTCTTAATCTTAATAGATAATTAAATTATCATCAAACTCACCATCAGTTGATATTTTATATATACATAGTATATGATTTTATTGACTAACATGATCACACGACGGTGGACGTGTTTAGCTATTTAGTCACAGCAACTATCTACATGTGACAACATTAGTGAATCAAGTCATAGACTATATAAGTATAAAATGATTGGTGATATTGGATCTAACAAAGGTTAATATTTTATTAGATTTTTTTGATACAAATTTAAATTTAAAAGTTTAGTTGGATATAATAAAAGATGAGAGATTTAGTTAAAAAAAATTACCGTAATTTAGCAGTTATTTTTTTATTTTTTTTATTTAAGCCTGTTTCCAAACTCAGTTAGACTCCAATGTCTACATACAACAACGCAATGTAAAGACTATCATAATATTCAAATCTACGCTGTGTGGTTGATTTATTCTGCTCCTCTTGAAAATTATATTATATGATTATATAGTTTATATTTATTACATATCTCGTAAAAAATATATAATAATATGGACCATTATTCAAAAACTTTTAAACAAGATATTGAATATTTTAAAAAAGTTTTCAATTTTAGGGAGTAATTGTCAAAGCATCTAGAATGATTATTACATGTAGATTAAAGTATATTATATATATAGCATGTTGAAATTAGGGTATCAAAGTATTTCAAATCATAATTATGAAATCAGAAAATAACAGTGGTACACTAGTAATTAAAATCTTTAATGATTGGACTTCTCAAAGTATTATATAATGTATATATGTATTCCAAAAAATATAATTGACTTAATGGTATGAATGTATTATAATCCAAGATGTAATATCTTGGTCTCATTTCATGAAAGCTAGGTAGAAGTGAACTTGCAATAAAACTATAAAAAGTCCCAAGCACCCCCAATAGAAGAAAAATACTAAATAAATTGGTCTGACCCATGCAGAAGAGAAATAAATAAAACCCTTGAGACCCCCTGGTCTCATTTAAATCTCATTCAACCATACTAATGAGTTCATCAGAATGGCATTTTGAAACAAGTCAAGCATGTAATTGTTGTTTTCTTTGTGATTATGTTCAGTAAAAAGTTGGTGTCACCATTGATAGTCGAAATTAATTTATTATTTTTTTAAAGAATGTTTGAATGCTTCCCTTCAATTTGATTATTCATTTTTATGTTTTTTTAGGTTGCCTTTTTGTTTTTTTTAGCATTTTCAACTCTCAGTCAATAGTTGATCTTTATACACTGAAACTTACATTTTGAGAAACCTAATTTTAACCCTCAATCATTTCATTTATGAATGGACAAGCAACCTCTAGCAAAGAAACCTATCCCAAAAAGGGCACCAAAAAACAGATACTCCCGAAGAGAAATTCACAACATACGAGAATAGATAGTCAAGCTGCTGTTTGTCCACAGAGGATAGAGGCTTGAATAAGGCTCTGTGCAGTGCGCAATTGATCTGAGGTTCCAGACACCACAACTAAACCCTCAGCAGCCCCAGGCCTTGGGGTCATGAATAACCAAATTTGCTCCAAGAAAGATAACTCTGATAATTTTTTTCCAAATTCATTAGTTTACTAGATTTCTAGTTAGAGGTTAATTTGAAATACTTAAATGAAGAAAAAAACATTTAATCCATCTTTAAATGCTTTCTCAAATACATAAAAGTGTGTTGAATTTTAATTAATTTTTACATAATATTTGCATTCATCCTTACACTGTATATGAAAAAAAAAACAATTCTACATTTTCTCTCCCAAAACGTTAAGATTTTTCTGTCATGTGGATTTGAGATTGTGAGCCAAATTATTTGGCAATGAGCTAGGGAACCTGCAAAGGTTTGCATGTGCAATCTAAATTCGGGAGGCCTTACACAAGGATTTAGCCCTTTCGACCTGAAAGGTGGGGTTTGGAGTAAAAAGAGAGGAAAACCCCACTTCGGCTACTTCTATAAAGGATCATGGCCATCCCAACAGAATTAAGAAGTTGAATAGGCTAGTCTGGAACAACTGGGTTAAGCTTATGGCCCATCTAGCCTGCCGTTTTGCGTACATAGGATGCTACCAAATATGCTCAATGTCAAAATGTGCCATAGGCAAAACTCTGAACAGCTGCAGAGTTTTTGCCCTTTTCTCGTTTGGGGTTCTAGTTTAGCTAAAAGACATTAAAGAGTTGCAACTAGAAACCTAAAATAGCAAGGACCATTTGTGGGCCTGGGATTGAATCCCAGGTCCCGCCTTCTCCAGGGGGAATATGCTCCTATTTGACTTGCACAAACCGAAAAACTGCAGGGGGAAATTTATGTTGCTTGATGAAGAAATATCATTGCTTTGTTGGCTTCAAATAGAAAAAAATAAACCAAAAAGGAATATAACATGTCTTTGTAGTCAGAGAGATACTTAAAAGTTGCGGCAGCTGTCTAAGCACAACATAGATGAGGCTTGATTCTTGTGATTTACAATGAAGAAGCCAACCTACCAAATGAGACAAAGGCCAAGGAGAGGTCATTTTAGTGACAGGGGCCAAGGGGGCTAATATTAAATATTTTCAGAGTGTTTGTAAGACAGTACTACACCCTCCCGCCCCCTACACATCCCTATTAATTACTATGATCCGACATCTTCTATTACAATTGTGACATTTTGTTTTAAGTATGACAACGCACATGTATTCATTAAAATAAATCCTGTCAAATGTTCACAACTCCTAACTCCATCTGTTTTAACCCTTGACACAAGCAACCACATCTGTAGATTCTCCATCATCTTCTGCTGTTTTTACCTCGTCTGCATCTGCATGTATAGAAAGATAGAAGGGGATTCAGAACACATACTAATACATTATTGAGGGGCAATAAAATATCTCAGACACATCTAACAGATACAAAACCAACTTGAAAGAAGGTGAAAAGAGCAGAGATATGTTATATACGTCACTACAATTCCAATGGCATTCTGAAATTTCTTTACCCAGTTTGACATTGGGTATTATAACTTATATCTTGTTCAAGCATTACCTTCTCAGCCCAAAAAATCGTTCAGAAATTTCCTTTTGGTGCTTTCTTTTTCTACTCGTTGCCCAACAAAGCCACCCTCTGTCAACCCGAACTAAAGCCAGGCTTCTTATGGATCTTCTTTTCTTTCATGACCTTTCTTACATTCTCAACCTCTTCCCATTCTCCATCAGCCGCAAATATATTTGATAGTGTAACAAAACCACCTGGCTTTTTCAATTCCATTTTTAGAATTTGTTCGCCCATCAATTTAGCCAAATCTTTTCTCCCATGAATTTTACAACCATTGAAGAAAGCACCAAGAATTGAGTCTGTAACTCCAAATGGCATCTCCTTCACCAATTCATAAGCTTCTACAATCCTCCCCAAACGGCATAACATATCAACAACACAAGCATAATGTTCTTTGGCACCTTCAATCCCAAAACTCTGTTTCATCGACTTAAATATCTTTAAACCTTCCTCGACTTGACCACTGTGGCTGCACGCAGAAAGAACAGAAGCTAGAGTCACATCATTGGCCTGCAGACCTTCTTCCTGCATCCTCTCAAACAGTTCTATTGCAGATTCGACCATGCCATGCTTTCCATAGCATCCTATCAAAGCATTCCATGATGCCACATTTTTACTAGGAATATTGTCAAATGCATTTCTAGCATCTTTCACGCTGCCACATTTGGAGTACATGTCAATCAAAGCACTTGCAATAAACACATTGACATCAAGTCCCAATCTGTAAATCAAGCCATGAATTTCTCTACCTTTTTGAACAGACCCTGTCAATCCACATGCTGGAAGCAGTCCAGTTAAAGTCACATGATTTGGTTTAATCCCAGAAACTAACATATTCCCAAACAAGTTCAATGCTTCGAAAGGACACTGACTTTGAGCAAAACCTGAAATAATAGCGTTCCAAGTAACCAAATCAGGAACCAGTCCTTCTTTATTCATTTTATCAAAAAGAGATAATGCAGCATTGATATCTCCCCTCCTAGCAAACCCTGCTATCATCACATTCCATGTAAACTCATTGGGCTGCAACCCTTCCAACTTCATCCTCTCGAACAAAACAAGCGCTTTTTCACTATTTCCGACATTACAATAACCAGAAATCATGGATGTCCAAGAGGCAACATCTCTCTCGACTATTCTTTCAAACACTTTCCTTGCATAACCCACATTTCCACATTTACAATACATATCTATCAAACCATTGCCAACACTTCCATCACTTTCCAAACACAACTTGTTAACAACAGCATGAACCTCCTTTCCTTTATTCAAATCCATCAACCCGACACAAGCTTTCAACACGACAGAAAAAGTGAACTTATTGCAAAGGTTTATTGATTCCGACATTAAAGAAAAGTACCCAATTGCCTCTTTAAAGTAGCCATTAAAAGCAGAAGCTAAAACCATCCAATTCACAGCAAAAACATTTCGGGTTTTGATTTTTTGAAACATGAAACCAGCAGTTTTCAAGTCTCCACAACCAGCATATATTCCAACAAGCTTTGAATTCAGAGACAAAAATTCCATATTAGCCCCAGTAACTAACAACCAAGCGTGAAGTTGCTTGCCTGGTTTCAAGGTTTTTGGCTTTAAGCACTTTTGTAATAACGAAGCAATGTGGTCCAAAGAGAAGGTTCGTTGGCAAAAAGATGGTCTTTTCATTATTGTATAAGGTTTTCATGCATACCCATAAATTATCAAGACCAATTAATCTATGAGTGATAGCTAATTGAAGCTTGAAACGACGGTTGAGGTTAACATTAAGGCTGCTTCTTCTCCTTCTCACTTTACCTTCTGACACACAGATGCGAAACTATATTGCTTTGGGGTTTGGGCAATAATCCAACCAAAATGTCGAAAAAAAAAAACTAACAAAAAGTGACCCTTTTCAAGTTGCAAGTTGCAAGTACCAAAAAGAGATCATTTGATGTACAATTGATCTTTACCTAGAATATGAAGAATGTGTTTCAAATGTAAAATACGAATATAACATGGTTAAACAAGTCAGAATCTTAAAATAAATATCAATATGATTATTAAATATATAATATGATATAATATATTCAATAAATTTATAAAATAGATTGAGTTAAATTTTATATGACACGATATCATTTATAATTTATTTATAACGATTAATGCGATAAAATTTTAAACACGATTGACATGATTAAATTAAAATGTATATAATCAAAAATGAAATATAACTTCATTATTCAATTTTAAAATTAATAATTATAAAAATAATTATAATAATATCCGTCAAGTATAATAAAATTTATCACTATCATTAGCAACTATAATAAAATAAAATATTTATATGAGGTTTTAAACGGGTAGAGTCGTATTTGTGTTGGGTAGACACACTTATACAATTAATTAAATAAAATATAAATTCATATAAAAAATGATGGAATATACCATGCATTATCTAGTGATGGAACCGAATACTACTTGGTTACTGGTAACTTTGATTCTGTTTAGCTAATATGGGGAGTGTACTAATAATTTTGATAGGAAGTGGAGCTTAAAAATTGAGGAGAGGTATGACTTGGCTGTAATTTGGATGGCAGCTCCATATCCCAATTTTAATGTATTACTCCATTGAGCTTTTCCATAGAGGTCCGAGGCCTGCTAGAACTTGCAAAAATCTTGATTCAACTGGTTTCATGGCTTTAAGTTCTTGATGAGGAATGTGGTCATCTCGACTATCATAAGTTTTACCTTGCATGAAGGGTTACTTGGTAACTAGTCAAGTCTCAGTTGTGTGGAGATAAAATTAAGGGCCTTCCTTTGCTTGTGTTCTTTATCCTTTTCTGTCTGTTACCATTTAAGTGGCCCAATGCTTGCATTGCATCCTAAAATTCATACAAGTTGCTTGATTTTAGAAAAATTCTCAAGATAACTAACTGCTTAAACAGAAAAAGATTTTGACTCTGTCTTTATTTTTTCCCTCTCGGGATATTCCTTCCTTAAACATCTAAGTTCTCACCTATTTTTCTTAATTACCTCTTTCTTGCGGCTCTTAGGAATCGTACCTATACACACAAATATCTCGTCAAAATTTCTTAATTTAAAATTATGAGACAAATACAAATATTTGATGACGTGAGTAATAATCTTTGAAAATTTCTCTGATTAATTTCTTCACTTCTTTTTCAAGAGTCACAAACGTAGACTTTGTCTTGATCGCGAACTTTGCTTAATCTTCTCTTCAAGGGTCTTCACGACGTAATCTTGATCACGAACACTTGATCTTCGCTTCAAGGGTCCTCACGACTTAATCTTGATCACGAACAGTTGATAACTTGATCACGAACTTCGTTATCGCTTGATCACGAACTTCGCCATCACTTGATCTTCACTTCAGAAATCTTATATTCTTCTTGATCTCTGAAATGCTCTCAATCTTCGAATGCTTCCCAATCTTCGAATGCTTCCAAATGAATGAAATGGCTTGGAGGAGCTCTTTATTTATAATGCTAAGTGGGAGACTTTGATGAGAATGAAATCTCTTTGAATTGTCTCTAAATTATTTTAATTTATTTAGAGATAAATTATGATGACTCATTGAAAGT